ATCGAATTTCACAGATCTCATATACACACTCCATTCATCTTATCTTATGTTCATGCTACCTTATATATGCCCAATGCCTGCGATATTCCACATTGGATGCATTTCATACTCACATTGTTTGGCATGTTTCATATTCAGCCATTTGCATAGAATCATGCGATATCTTGTTTTGTCTATCTTATCTGACATACATGTTTCTATATTGTGCCTTATATTCTATATATACTGGCACTACCTCTTGAAATTTTATTTGCAGACTATGGCTCGCATCAAGACTGTAGCACGTAGACACCATCACGGCACCAGACCCAGACTTGACGACGGGGCCAGTCCATCTCATGTTCGGGATCCTAGCCCCGAGCACACACAGAGGAGAGTCCGACAACGGACACAGGAGATTGAGCAGCCCTCCCATACAGAGGAGACATTACACCCTACTCCACCCCAGTCGCCAGTTCGTCCAGCATTCACTCCATCACCATCTCCACCGCATAGAGGCGCTGAGTAGCCAGCTCAGCCAGCTCCACCTGTTTAGCCAGCTCCTTTACAGCGCGACAGACTTGCGCCTCGATATGCACACATGACTATTGACCACGAGTCAGCATTCGATACCGCATTCTTCTCTAGATCAGTGCTGACTCGATCTGCCTACTAGGACATCATTCAGCGGGGCCTCTTAGCTATTCTTGCCCCAGTCACAGAGCCGATCTACCTGCGACTGGTACGGTTGTTCTACCAGAACCTCCGACCATCGCCGCGCACTACAGTGGATACTCTCGTCGAGCTCATCACCTTTATAGATGGCCATGAGATCACCATTACAGTGGATACTTTGGCCCGTTCGACTCGCTGTCCACATCGATGCCCGCCCGAGCTATATGAGACATATCCCAGGCTTCACAGGCCTTCTTATGCCGATATGGCAGTTTTTCTCACAGGTCACCATGCCGGTGGTGAGACCTTCGCCACCCGGACATTCTTGTCGGATGACCTGTGGTTTATAGATTCGGTGCTCTACCGAAACATATACATAGCAGGCCACAAGATTCAGAGGCGGGGCGACTATCTAGAAGCCCTATACGCCTTCTATACCGGCCACTAGGTGTCTATTCCTGCGCTTATCTGGAGCATGATGAGGAAGCTCTACGATGAGTACGTCAGCAAGGAGGCACCCGGAAGGGCCAAGTCTCTTCCATTCAGCCACCTCATCATCCAGATTCTCATAGACCAGCGCTATCCCATCCACCCGCATGAGGACCCCGAGAAAAGTTCCTGTTACTTCCTCAAGAAGGACTGGGACAAGAGCTACAGAGCTATTATCACTCGCCTGTAGACCCATGCTGTACTGGCGGCTGCAGAGCTGGAGTTAGAGGAGGAGGCAGCAGCACAGGCATCCCCGGCACTAGCAGAGCCAGCAGCAGCAGAGCCAGCAGCAGCAGCTCCTGCAGCGGACGATACACCAGTCGATCCAGCTGCCGAGCATGATGACATTGATATAGACATTGACTTGAAGCACTAAGCAGATGACGCAGTTCATCATTCACCAGCCAGCACTACAAGAAAAAGGGTTATTAGTGACAGACCTTTAGGGACAGTACAAAAACTGTCCCTAAAGACCCTATTTTTAGGGACGGGCTTTTATTACTGTCCTTAAAGACCCTATTTTTAGGGACGGTCTTTTATTACTGTCCTTAAAGACTCTATTTTTAGGGACAGGCTTTAATTACTGTCTCTAAAGGGCTAAATAATTTTTTTCCCCCTTCGTGCTGCTGGCGGGAAACTTGGCACCACATAAATGATTATTTTTAATAGAAAACATAATTAAAAATTAGTCTTTAGGGACGGTAAATGTACTATGACTAATGTGACATTATAAAACGACGTAGTTTTTGTCAATAGGTATATATATCATGCGTCCAACTTCCTCTACACATCTACACATAAGCCCGAGCTTTCTCTCTCTGATCTCTCTCTCTCTCTCTCTCTCTCGTCGAAGCCGTGTATTTCTCTTTCTACTCTCTCTCTTTAGACGAAAAAGATGCAAACAAGATGATGTTGTAGATTCAATATAGTCTCCCTACTCGAGTTATCTCTCTGGTTCGCCTCTCTAGTCTCCCTTTTCGAGTTATCTCTCTAGTTCGCCTTTCTATTCGAGTTCTCTCTCTGGTTTGGACATGACAAACAACCATTTGGAGCCACAATTTCTTCGAATTTCAGATGGCTATACACATAAATTTGAAGCAAAAAATCGAGGTTCGTCTATCCCTTTCTATTTATGTATCTATTAGTTTTGATTTTTTGATTAAGAGTGTTTCATTTAATTTTTTTTTTTTTTGATCTTTCTGTAGTTTTTTTTAATGCAAATACGTATTATAAGGTTTCAAAATTGCAAGTGAAATTGCAGATTTGGAAGAACTTAGGAACAAAATAGCCAAGCGAGTTGAGGAGCTTTCCATTGAGGGTCTGTCCATTGGAGCTATCGATCTGAATGTACCTAACCCAGCTGAGGATTCTATTCATTCTTGGCTCTAGTGAACCAGTAAGTTGGAGAAGGGTCTATCTTAGCTGTGGTTTTCCGTGGATGTGCATTACACATCAATTTGGAGCAAAAAATCAAGGTTCGTCTATCTCTTTCTATATATATATCTATTAGTTTTGATTTTTTTATTAAGAGTGTTTTATTTAATTTTTTTTTTTTGGGATCTTTCTGTAGTTTTTTTTAATGCAAATACATATTATAGGGTTTCAAAATTGCAAGTGAAATTGCAGATTATTTCCTTTGTTTTGCTCTGGTTCCAGTTTGTAGATAGTTTGGCTTTTTCTTTTGTGCTTTGAGCTTTTGGTTCCCCTTTGTTTTGATTGTTTGCTCCTTTAATAGATGTACACCTTATATAAAGTTTTTGGCTATACCTGACCATCCTCCAATCATATATGTAGATACAATTCGCCAATAATACATTTTCTTTTTCACTCAATGCATGCAAACTCCAAATTTACCGCCACAAATTCATTCACCTCTCACATACCATCTACCTCTTGTAGTGGCATGGGTTCAAATCCTGGAATCAGCATTTCTAGAAGTATGGGTTAGGTTGCCTACCATGTACCTTTGACAGACCTTGCTTAATGTAGGACCCTTGTGCACTGGGTACAACCTTTTATAGTTGACGTGGTAGCATCGAGGTCCCTTGGTTGTTTCTGTTTAGGCTTTTCATGTAAAAATAGTGTCTCTCTTTTTTGCTTGCTTGATTGATTGATGTCTAATTAATCAGTTTCATATAGTTGTGAACAAAATTATGATTGGAATTTTGAATACCACTGGATGGAAGAGACATATTCAGCCCCTTCTAGCTTTGTCATTCCATATATTTTTTGAGAACTTTCTAACTATTTACCAAAGCTTTCTCAACGCTTTATCCAGTATTAATCATCTTTATTCTGCTTTGCTCATATAATCTTCATGTGACTTTTCTGTGAAGAAAAAGAAAAGAAAGCCATCATAAGTATCGTCTAAGAGTGTTAGTCTCACTATTATGGTTCTAAAGTTTACTGAAAGTTTGTGCAACTTTAATTTGGATTGTACTACCTATTTTGATTTAAAAAAATTCAGGTGAAAACAATATGGCTGAATATTCTGCCAAAACTGAAAATTTTAGGACTTGGAAGTTAGTTTAAAACTGCCATTTCAATGAAAAGGCTATTGCTTATGTTATTACTGCTACAATTGCAATTGTTGACAGACGTAAACAGAGTATTAGGATTATTTCACATACAGTGGTTGATCTCAACCTTTTAACTAGCATTCTTGTACTTATTAGTGCTAGCTTGTACTACTGCATCAAATAATGAGCCCCAAAAGGGTCATTTATCTGCCCTTTACTATTTTGAGTTGAAATTGGGTTGATTTTGTAGAATTTGGTAAAATCCCGCCGGATATTTCAAAAGACAAAATAGATTGTTTGCCAATTTTGGTCAACTAATTGGAGCATTCAGAAGATATTGATATGTTGAACTTCCAAGTTGACTAAAAATTGCCGAGTTCAAAACCTTACTCATGACAGACTCTTTGTTATGCATTTTATTTAATTTAGTTCTCTCTTGCATTTTGCTATTCATCCTAGTTCTTCCTGTACACAATACATTCTTTTTCTTTTTGTTTGTAGGGGGATGAAAATGTTGGGGTTGCCCTTCTGACTTATCCTGTTTTAATGGCTTCTGATATTCTTTTATATCAGGTGGGTTCTGTCTCCGCGGCACAGAATATTGGGTCATGCTCGAAATTCATATCTTTATGGATATGCTGTTTCATCTGGATTGTGTTCTTGCATTTTATTTTTAGACTTTGAAAAGATAAATTAGTCCTTCGTTTTGAATTATTGAAATATTGGTTCATCATGATTGTTATGACAGTACACATAATAGATTGAATGGCAAACAGGTAGCACTTTTATGTGTGCTTTCTCGACTTCACATGTTGATGATTACCCTGAATATGCATGTATCTTATTAATTGCAGCATTCCTTTGCAGTCTGACTTTGTCCCAGTTGGCGAGGATCAGAAGCAACATCTAGAGCTGACTCGAGAGCTGGCTGAGCGTATGTATATGTATATGTTTCTTTTTCAGAATTTGAGAGCATTTTAAATTTTCTAGAAATTTGTGATTTCAACTGATATTACAAATGATTTTGTTCTACCATTAAATTTCGCAGGGTTCTATTATTCTTATGTAGGTATTCATATTAATCTCTGGAAAAACTTGTGCGATTGGTGGATGTCACTAGAATTTCAGGTTTGTTAACTACTTATTTTAACTATGTATTTGAAATCATTGATTATAATACATTGATTCACTAGTTATTTAGGTTTGTTAACTTTTATTATTCTTTGAATTACTATGCAGAAAATAAGTGAAAGAAATAAAGCTAACCGTTCGAAGAATGAGATTCCACATGTTTCATTGGTAGTGGACTCTTGAGGATTTACTGTGTAATATAAGCTGATGGGATTTTACCATTGTTTCAGACCTGCTAGGTCCAAGCATTGCAGCGTATGTGACCGGTGTGTCGCTCGGTTTAACCATCATTGTGGATGGATGGTTTGCTTTCATACCATTCTTAAAATTATATTTTTATGTGGTACATATTATAATATATTGTTTTTCTTTCCTTCTCAAAATTTTTTATTTCATTTGTCATTTCTGCAGAATAATTGCATAGGGGAGAGAAACACCAGATACTTCATGGCTTTTCTTCTGTGGTGAGATTTACTAGATTTAGCAGCATTGTATTTTATAATCGAGCAAATAGTATTTCAACTGTAGCTAGTGAGTTTCCCTACGATTTTCTTCTAATCCTATGTTTCACAAATGATCCATGTTTAAGATTGGCAATGTTTTTGTTAGAAGACATGCATCTGCTTATTTTTTAATTAAAGGTTAAAACTGAAACTACTTAACAGTTATAATATTTATTAGTTATAAATGGGTCATAGTCGAGCTTTAAAAATTGACTTCAAGTTGCTTATACCTCGATGGGTTGTGTTTTTGGAAAAATGGAAATATTTTGCTGAAGCATAAGGAAATAAAATTGAATTAATACTGGTCCATGTAGGATATTTTATGCGAGTATTTCACTAAAATGTGACAACCGTAGAGGTTGCATTATTATTGATGACTGTGGTAAAGGCCTAAACCCAATCAGTGATTGTGCTGTGTGACATTTGCACCATATAAATGAATTGTTTGGCTCACCCAACCCAATCAGTATTACAGTGCATGTGCTGCCTCCATAATGATTCTTGATTCTACTTGTGTTAAGTGCTTCTTTAGTGTTTATGCAGGCAATTCCTACTCTGTGTATATGGAACAGTAGCCAATGGGTTGGTTATTGCTGGTCAGTTGAAAGAACTAAAAGTTATATATATTCTAACAGGTATTTTTTTTTTTTTTTTTTTTTTTTTGCATATAACATCTCCTAGTTGGTGGTTGAATTTTTATGAGAGCCTAAATTTGAATAATTATTTTCTGATTTCTTATTTGCAGTTTATTATGGCATTCAGAATTCTTTTGGTAGCTTGGCTCCATATGTCGTACAGGTGAGTGCTTCTAGATTTATATCTTGCTTCTTGTGTGCAGCCTATAATTTGCATTTAGGAAGTATTACTTTCTAATTGCATTTTAGTATTTTCTATTGTGATATTAACATTCTATTTGTTTCCTTATAAAATTTTGAATATATTCATATATTTAATCCTCTACCATGGTTGTTCCCGAGTTTTGAAATGATAGGAACATGTTGCTTTAAGAAGAGAAAATTGGGGAAACATCATTTTGGGAACACACCTAGAATGCCATAGTCATCACAACGGGGTTATGGTTGAATCGCAAAATCTTGAGAGTTTCAAATTAGCTATAAATTCTAAAGTAACATCTACTAAATTAGAAGAGCAGATGGTTTATATTTCACATATAAGCTAGTGGACATTGCTTATTATACTTGGACTAAGAATCTAAAATTATAAACTATAAATTATACAGTAAAACTAAATTAGACCACCTAATGGCAAACATAATGACCCCACTAAGCCCTAACCCACGAGAAGAGGCCTTACGTACAAAATATTTATCTTATTAAGTACCATATTCACATTAATGTAATAGATCACAACTAAGAATAACTAATATTACACTGGTCAAAAGTAAACATAAAATAGAACTCAACTTAATCTAAGACATACACAAGGTCCTGAGTTGGCCTCACAATGTGGGAAATTGGAATTTTGTGCATGGTTAAGGGTTCTTTGTTAAATTTAGAGATTATCATGGCTTTCATCACTTCCTTGGCCCCATTCTCTTTTTATCATTTTATCATTGTAATGTCTTCATTTGGAGTCATATAATTCTCTTTTATTTAATCATGTGTATAACATAAAGATATCACATTTAGCCTTTCTTATTTTTCACTATTTTTTTTTTCTCACTTTCCTAATTTCTCTCACTTCTCTTGGATTCAAACATATAGGAGATGCATGAAGATACTACTTGGAACAGCTGGAGCAATGATGCCTAAGTATGAGGATGTTGAAACCATATGATGTTAAAGCTAATACTATTGGGAACGGCTAGAGCAATGATGCCTGATTATGAGGATGTTAAAACCATTTGATGTTAAAGCTGCCAGCGAATATTTTGTAGTTTTTGTTTAAAAAATTAGAGATTTTATAATTTCATTATGAAATTAAGAGCTTGAAGTTTTTATAAATTTTATAGTGCTATTGTGATAATTTTTTTTCTGAACTTGATATTGGTAGATAACATATTAACTGTGTTCTTTTTATTCAGAATTTGTCCCGATTCAGAAAAGTTGCATACACAATCTCCCTTTTTTTTTTCTTCATACCTTGGACTTGCAACATAGAATGTTTTAATCATACAAATCAAACCGAGCCCAAAATAAAAACATAATAAAAAAAAATAAAAAATCAAATTAGTATTAGGGACAGTTTTTAGCTGTCACAAATTTTAAAATAAATAAAAGAATTATGTATTAGGGACGGTATTTACGGTCCCTAATACTACATGTATTAGGGACAGTCACCAAAACTGTCCCTACTATATAAATGATTAGTGACAGTTTCTATCGTCCCTAATACCTTTTAGGGACAGTATTAATTGGGACAGTAGGTACCGTCCCTAAAGGCCGAGTTTTTTGGGGACGGTCATTTTTTACCGTTCCTAAAGATCTTTTGTCACGCAATAATTAGGGACGGACGATTTTGATCATTAGGGACGGTCTTGGGGTTTTTAGGGATAGATTTGACTGTCCCTAAAAACCAAATTTCTTGTAGTGCAGGTCACCTATCCACGAGCAGGAGCAAACCCAGGAGCTGTCTTCTGACTCCTCCATACCAGACTTGACCCCCGGCTTCGGAGTGCATCTGCAGATGCTCGAGGACACTGTTGTTGCCATCAGAACTGACCTCACGGCCCACAGAGCGAAGTTCGTTACCTTCTGCATGGATGTCGCGACCATGTTCAGAGATTTATCTAGAGACATCCGCGGAGCCAGACCTGCCCGTCCTACCTCATCTTCCTGAGCTCCCACTCTTTTCTATCTCATTACCTCTCTCCTTTTGATACTTTATTATTGTCACTGTATTATTTTTACAGCTGGTCTGTCAGCTTTGATACTTTTATTGTACCTGCACTTTCTCTATTTTATATATCTATTTTTGCTATGGATGTCATCTGATTGTATTCTCATATCTGTATGCTTGACTCCATCAGGTGCATCACAGTAACTTCAGTGAGAGAGTGCTACCCAATTTTCAGGACCACCCTTATACCTCTCTCATTTCATTTTCTGTTTATCCCATTTACACTTGCATGTTCACTGTGCACTGATTATCCCATTTTGTTATTTGATAAGTTTATCCAAGTGCCAATTTTCAGGACCACAGTTCATCCCAAGTTTGGGGGGGCCATGCCACCTACTTCGGATACTTCAATCCCAATCATTCTTACTTAGTTGCACTGGTATACTCTTTCCTTTGTTCTCTTTGCATATTGAGGACATTGTGTAATTTAAGTTTGGGGGGAATGGTGCTCTATAGTGATAGTTTTAAATTCAAACTTTTAGCATGACTCGTGTATTTGAGGGATATTTCTATGATTGGTCCATACCTAGCTATGATTTTGATCTTCTGAGGACTATATTGCTTAAAATTTAAAAATTGCTTGACTTGAGAGTCCAATACTCCTTGTATGCATGATGAATGCCATTTAGGAGTAAATTTTTCAAAAGATTGATATCTTGCTTGCACTTGTGGTCCACATCATCTTGATTTTGTGATTGTTTTGAGATTCACTCTAGTGTTCTACACTAGCATAGGTGCACACTAGCATTTATTTGTGGGGTACATGCTTTGTTAATTATTGAATTGGTTATATCCCAATTAAGCTAGTAGTGCATTGAAAGCTTTCATTCTTGATAAAGGTGGAAAACAACCCCTTTTCACTAAGTAGCCGGGATTCTAGCCTTATCAAGCACTGAACTTCTCGCGCCGAAAGGTGGAGGGCCCAAACTCTAGGTTAATAATTGAACTTTATTCACAAAAAAAAAAAAAAAAAAAAAAAAAAAAAAAAAAGAAAAAAAAAGAAAAAAAAAAAGAGCAAAAGCAAAAGCAATAAAAAGTGAGGACTTCTCCCAAATGGTGAGAAGTGGGAAATGATTAGATGGTTATTATCTTGATTTGTAACCTAGTTGATTTGAGCTTGTAAGTCCGTAGGGGTGTCTTAATGCCTAATGCCCTAAAGCCATCTGGTTTGGGAGTCATTGACCTAACGCTCGACCTCATGAATCGCTAAAAAGCTTAATAGATCAACACATTGCACTATACTTCCATTTTTTATCCTATAAAAAAAAAAAAATTAAATATCCGAGTGAAAATAATAAGCGCACCTAGATGAATAAAACTTTAATAAAAGGTCTACTTTTTGTCTTGATGATCGGTACTAAATTTGTGTGCTAATTTGAGGGTAAGGATGTGATTAATTCTTTAGTTGGCTTAGATAGCAACACATTGATGCCGGTCCACTCAAAAGAATTCTAGATTTGTTTTGATTTGCATGATCACTTTCTTGATGTGTGGAGGACCATACTTGCTTGCTTGATATTGAAATTTTGAGAGATTTCTTGGAAAGTGTTGAAATATTGCATACTTGAGGTAATTTTCTCCCAATATTTGTTTGCAATATTGGTACCTCTTTTGACAAAAATGAGCTTAATATTTATGGGTACCATTTCTGGAAACCCTTACGAGACTTTACTCGTCCACTAGGGGTAACTTAGGCGTTTAAAAGGCTTGTTGCATATGCTAAATGCAATCGTGTTCCCTACGAAAGTGGCGTTATCCATTTATTGTTTTCTAGTTCATAGCTATATAGTTCTTATCTCATTTCTTTATTTCGTAGTTCATTGCTAGGGACTAGCAATATTTAAGTTTGGGGGTGTGATGAGCACTGAAAAATGCGTATTTAAACCCCTTAAGCTTAGGCATTCTAGTACCTTTATCTATCTTACTTTACCGTTTTAGATTGATTTCGTATTATTTCCATTTTCAGGCACTTATCTCAAAAATAAGCTAACTCAGCCAAATAAGAGCTTAATTGAAGCAATTCTGAGATTAAACAAAAAAATGAGCAAAGTGGATAAAGAAAGAAGCAAAATGAAACAAAGCAGCAAGTTCGATCGATCCAAGTCTAAGGTTCGATCGATCGAACATTGATCGATCTCAGCACTTCAAGATAGATCTAAGCCTTGACCCAAAGCACTTCAGTCCAAAAGTTCGATCGATCCAACATCATTCTTCGATCGATCGAACACCTTTGTCCTTATCCAAATGATTGATCCTATCCACGGCTGTACCACCCACCAACCACTTTTGTCCTTTTCCCATAAATATCTCCCATAAATATCAAGGATTTATCTTCAGCCAGTTGGATTGATCCAGCCTAAGTTCGATCGATCGAACTTCTTCCAGTGCGAAAAAGTTAAAATTCCATCTCATTGAAAATTGTCCTTTATCTATTGTGTGCACGACCTCAGCTCATTTTGGGTGTCATTTTGACCTACTTATATAAGGATAAGGATTGCTTTTTCAAAGGGAAGCCAACATTATTTTTGATATCATCTCTTGAAGAGGAAGTTTTAGAGAAGGAGGCGGCTAGAGATACCATTGGAGATCTTTATCAACAAGGAGCAAACCTTTTCCATGGAGTTAGCCCTTGAGGGTTGGAGCATCATCACCATGAATGGCCAGACATCCTCTTGGGGCTAGAGTTAGCCCCAAACATGCTTTCTATATCTTAATCTTGTGTATTATTGAGGGATTAGTGTTGTAATTGATGTTTTGACACTTTGATATATATAGATCTTGTTTATTCAATGATTTATGTGGTTTAATGCTTCCAATTGGTCATTTCATTCTATTCATATGTCTATATATGCTAGAATAGATGTTCACATGTTTATCTCTAGATTTTGTGTTATTGATGCATGTCTATGTGTATTGATGCTATAGATTTAAAGATTGTCAAAACATTGTGCTTAAAAGAATGCTTTTGTGATTCTCTTGATGGTTCATGCTTACCTCTTGATGGATTGTGCCTCTACCCTAGTTTATTTTCATGCTAGTAGTATAGATATAGTGTAGTTGTAGTGTAGTGTTAAATGGGAGGACATCTATGCTTGTTTTTTTGATGATCCAAGCTTGTGAATGCAATTAACATATGTCTCTATCCTTGTGTTGTATTTGGATTATGAGCTTAATGAAAGGATTAATAACTTGTTTTGATTTATTGTGTTTTTCACATGTTGTTTAGACAATATATGCTTCATAGCTTAGATATATTGTGCCTTTCATATGATGTTTAGATAATTCATGCTTAACTAGTTATCCTTACTTATTGAATCAACCAAATACACACACACCACTATTGCAACCCACTATTTGCCCTCATTAATCATTTGTCAATGATATAGAAATGCATTACTTGGTGGTAATCTCTAAACCTCAAAATCTCTCTCTCCCTTACTTACTCTCTTTAGTATTGCATTCTTACTTAATTTAATTTAGTTGCTCTCTAGTTTAAACAACCAACCAATCAATTGTTTGATCACTCGACCTACTGACCCTAGTTGCAATTTCACATTCAAGTACGACTCCAATCCCTTGGGACGATCCTTACTCGCCCTAGCTATATTTATAGTGAAAGGTAGTAGTGGCTTTTACAAATGTAAAACTCTTGGCCTTTGCCTTAATACACACTCTCAGATGTATGGTGCGGCGACACCGCCTATCAAGAATCATTATTAAAATTTGACCTTGACTATAACATAGCAGGCACCTTTACAAGATATTCATATGCATCCCTATCAATCTTCTTTATGATCCGCATGTGATATTCAAATCCATCACTAGTTAATGCCCTTGCTGAATCCCACATCTCATTTCTCAATTTTACCCTCCTTAAACTTCTTCTTGAAATTATCATACATGTGCTTCACATATCTATGGTCAGTCCCATGCAACATGTCTTCAAATACCTCTACTAAACCCTGTGAAACAAACATTCAAATAAATATGTGTTAAACAAATTTTCAATGAAATATAAATGTTTTAAACTAACAATTAGTATGTGTATTATTTAAAATTTATACCTTTTGTCTATCGGACATAAATGTAAATCTTTATAATGGACCCAATGCCTTCTCTAGCTATTCTATAAACCATTTCCAAGACTCTTTGGTTTCAGCTCTAACCACAGCAATGGCAATAGGGAAAATGCCACTGTCTCCATCCCTACCAATTACACTTAATAATTGACCTTTGTAGGGATTCTTCAATAAAGAAACATATGCTAAACCAACTTTCAAATAAATATAAAAATATTTATTACACTATAATAAATAAAATCTATGCATAAAATGTTTACCTTCAAGAAACAATCATTCATTCCAAATGAATGGCCTACACCCTCCCAAGAAGCCAATTTTCATTACTTCAAAGCATATAAATAACTAGGGGTGTTCAAAAAATCTGGTAAACTGAAAAATCGGACTGAACAGAACTGAATTTGACGGTTTGGGCTAGTTGTATAGCGGTTTGGTCCGATCTTGGGCCCAAAATTATGAAACTGTAATTTTACGGTCCAGTCTTGGTTTGGGTTCCTGCTGGACCGGACCAGCCCAGACCGAACCGTTATATATATATATATATATATATATATATATATATATATATATATGATATAACTTATAGTTTTGGCTGGACACAAGTTACTCCCACTTCCCACCTTTCTCAATAAAGCTACTCCCAATTTACCAAATTCCCATATTCTTTGAACTTTTCTTAGGCCATGATGAAAGCTAGCAAAGAGAGAAATAAAGAAAACAAAATGATGGGCCATAATAAGAAAAACATCATATGAAAATTACCAAATAATAAAAAACTATGCAATCAAAGAGCAAATGGTGCAAAAATAAAGCATAAGCATTAGGGACCAGAGGAGATTATGGAATCTTTAAACACTAAAGTGGAAGAGTAGTGTTTGTCAAATTGTATGAAAAAATATATATAATAAATATATATTGAATCTGTTTGTTGTTTCACAAGTTAAGTCCATAT